GAAAATAAGTAATCAGTAAAGTAACGGGATTACTTTTTGGGGGAAGTAATCAGTAATTAGTTACTGATTACTTTTTTCAAGTAACTTCACCAACACTGTTTGGGACCTGACTGCGTCTGTATTACTTGCATTGGCAAATCATATCTACATAGATAATGTGGTTTTAGTAGCAGCTTGATTAAGGACAAAAAATCTGTTCTAAACAGTTTCTGTTATTACCTGTAAATGGATAATGTAGTGTTGGATTTGGTCCTCAGTAACTGGGTTATGCTCCAGAATGATGTGCAGCCTCATAGACATCATGTTGGTCAGCCAGTTGACCAGACTGGGATTGACGTCTGCAGACATCCTCCTCTGCACAAACACAGAGATACACAGTAACAGGCAGCTGCCAATCTGTGCCACGAGCAAAGCACGTGATGCTGCGTTACTGAAGATGTATACAAACAATGTGTTGGTTGATAACAGCAGTCAGAGATCTGTGTTCTCCTCCCAGGCAATACAGGTTTAGAGCCAGACACTCAAACAGGCTATGAGTGCACAGCAACAGCAGGCGGGGGCCAAACATGTGATCTGTGACATGGAAAAAACAAAAAACCCAAATATAAAACCATCAGTGCAGGATTCTGGCTACACAAAATACTAAGATAAGAAAATACTGTCGTGAACCGATGCCCCTCTGTGGAGGTGATATATTTGAACAAGTAGATCAAACATCAAAGATTGAAATAAAACTAAAGTTATTCCATAATCCACAACAAACTGACCCCAGCTTTAGGCCATTAACGCACTCAATGCCACATATAGCATGCCTGAAATCCCGTTTCCTTCTTGCAATCAAAGTGAACTTACCGTGGCAGCGAAGGATATGTGTGGCCATTTGCGTGAACTGCTGTCTGAAGAAAGACAGGTTGGTCTGAATTATGTCCACTCCCTCACGCACTGTCACTGTGGCCTAGATGCAATACACAGCGCTCACTTATGTGCACATGTCACAGGAAATCAAGAGTCCGTGTTACTATGTTTGTGTGTGGAAGACATCGTCCTTACAAAGCTCTCAGCTATGTAATCCTCAAGTCCATTGATGAGGTCCTCAGCTGCTGCCTGGAGGGAGAATAATGTCACATTTTTTCATTCGATTTTAATTTTATGGTATTACCTTTGTTAATGTGGAATTTGTATTAAAACATTTTGAAAACTACTTTCTTGTCTTGCTTATTACTAGCCACTGCTATTTTTTATAATACAGGGTGGGCCATTTATATGGATACACCGTAATAACATGGGAATGGTTGGTGATATTAAAGTCCTGTTTGTGGCACATTAGTATATGTGAGGGGGCAAACTCCTCAAGATGGGTGGTGAACATGGTGG